TTTTTTTTTTATATTGTGCATTCCTACTAAATATAGGCTGCAAAAGACTTGAGACTTGTCCAAAGATTTTTTCCAAAGCTCTTTCAGCAGGACACCAACAATAAAGAGCTGCCAGCAGATGGTTTATGGAAAACAGGTATTAATGTGTTGGAACTCCAGTCAATGTAAGAATCCGATCTCTATCTATTCTGTGTAGACTGTTATTGGATGTATAATGATAGATGGAAGCCCGATTTATAAAGCAGCATAAATCGAGGTGGATGGTGGTTCTAAATGTCACTGATGCAAGGAGGTTTAAAAAAAACAAAAAACAAACACACCAAACTTTTCAGATTTGTATTAGTAGAACAGTTTGGGAACCATATTTCCCCTTTCACTATGTTATTTTGTGTTTGTTTATCACAGAAAAATTCCCCCTAAACCACACTGTTTTGTGTGGTTGTAACATGGTAGAATGAGAATATTTTAGCACAAGAAAAAAATGAAGATTATTTGAGAAGCAACGCCTTTATTGGTTTTCCTATCGGCCAGAATAAAAGCCAGCATAAATTACAAAGGGCATTGCCTCCTCTGGTTTCCACTGCCTGTGAGCTATGAATCATTAAATAAACCCATGTTTGTTTGTTTTTTCTTCTGCTTCATAAAATTCAAATGTTGACCAGAGCATGCCAGGGGGTGGGTCAACGATGGATTCAAAAGTCAGGTCTTGCTGAGGAAAAGTGAAATACAAGCCACTTTTTTTTTTATTTGCATGGGGCCCATGCCACAATTCCACCACAGCAATTATGGTATTTAACCAAACAACCATTGCGTCAACCGTAATTACACGGCCGTGGCTCCTTCTCGCCCCTGCGGCTTTACGTCTGAGCAGCACTCTGCTTGGGGGGGACACAACACAGGCAGCCTCGGTCACGAAGCGAGGTGGCGTCGCTAAGCAAGGTTAAAACTGCACATATTATGTGAGGTATAAAAGCTGATTTTCTAAACAGGCCTTCTGCTTGGAGCAGGCTGCAGGAATCTGTTTGCAGACAAATTACCCATTTGTGGTTGTGAACGTATCACTATGTGGCTACTGAGGTGTCGAAAAATATTTTGTAAGCTCTAACTACATGCTTTGGTAGCTGTTTCTATGGTGTAGAGAGACAGGCTTGGTTTTTGCAGAGTTCTTGGAAGAATAGCTGGAGTTTAAATTTAGTTTCTGTGCAGTTGTTAAGCTAAATTACCGGGCGTCATCTTTAGATAGAAAATCGTATTTTATTGGCATATCTGTCAAAAGCAGCCTGGTCAGATGCAGAGACACTCAAATATAAATACAATCAATTTGTTAGAAGGACTAAATTCTGGGATAACATAGTCACTGATTTCCCCCTGGAGGGTGCTCCAAGCTAATCAAAAACTTCACTTTACTGGAAAAGCCGTAATCACTTCAGCCATCTCGTTTTGCCCGAGGGAAAACTCTGAATGAGTGCTGTTGGCTCATTCTTATCTAGAATACTCTGGAGCCAGCAGCTCTGGCAGATAGCCCAGGTATGGAGATGGTGTCTCATCATTTATCACGCTGGATAATCTTAGTTTATTCCCTCAATGTCCAAACTGAGAGATAAGGAGCATTTGATAAAACACAAAGATATTTGAGGGAAGTCTGTACCTGCACTGCCCCCTAGCATTATTTCCAACTACTTGTTTTGTGGTAACAAATCTTGATGCAGAGATGTTCTCAAGTCATTTTTTTGTTTCTTTAGGCCCCAGGAATAAATTGAGTCTAAAGTTTTATCTTGCCCCTAAAGTGCGACTCAAGTTGGAATCTGGTACCATTAAGGGTATAGTGGAGGATTTTATTTTTCCACGTTATTCATCAAAATAATTGGTTCTCCTAATTGCCAATCATTTTGGTGATATGTTTAGGGGCTCATCCCCATTTTCACTTACCGGTGGTGAGTCTTAACCTAAATCCACCAGATGGATTTGCTGGATTTGCTCCGCATATCCATCTGGAAACCTTCCGTTGAAGTAATTTTGGGAAGGGGTGAAAATTCTGGTTAGCTGATTGGCCTATGTTGGTGATAGATGAAGCATATGACGTACTAACAGAGCGACGACGAAAACACAACCACAAGCCAGGCACAAGCCAATTGATAGATCAAACTCTTGCCGAAACCAGTCGGGAGAAGAGCAAAAACATCTTTTCCTCTGAGAAAAGCCCCCAGAGCAGTGTTTTGCTCTTCTTTCAGTGAAGAAATACTCTGTAATTCCGATAAAACTTGCTCGATAGCCACGCTAACGCTAGTTTCATCGGCTGAAGCCGCCATGTTCTTTAGACTGAACTGTCGCGCTTCTCGTGGGTCACACCTCAACCCGCCTCAAAGCCAACGCTGATTGGACGTTCGTTTGGTGAACTGCTCCAAATTTTCTTTAACGGAAAGTAGCCAGACTGATCTGTGAGTAAAACCTTGAAAGCTCGCGAGATCAGGATGGTCTCACGAGGCTAGGTGAGTCTAATGTAGTGGAAACATTGCAAATCTTCTTTTGGAAAGTAAGCTTGTATGAGCGATTCAAACAGCAGCTTTTAATCAGAGCGTGCATGAGATGAAATGGGCTTGTGCACGCTCCTGCACGTGTCTAATAGGCATTCCCTTTCGGGAGCGGGTACAGGGCTCTGCATGTGCATTTTTTATTTTGAAGTGGAGACGGCGGGTCTTTTAAAAAAATTGTAAAAATTCTCCAGTATACCTTTAATAACAACTTTAACTATGATCAATGGAAATGGGACTATTTCACATCATATTAATTTAATTAGGGTTACGATAAAACATTGGCTCCTCATTAAAATATCTCAGACACTCTTTCAAACACTGTGCAAATGTCAAAAATCTTTCAGATGGATTTTGTTTTACAATTTGTTGGGTGTGTTGATGACTGTAGCACCAGTGACATGCAGAAAAATATACAAAGTTTAAGTTTATCTGACTCAATGCTAAGGTTTTGTCACAAAACACAGTTTTCTTTTACAATAGATTAAGTCATATCTGTGAGTCAAACATGAACATCTGTAGCTTTTGACTGTTTGCACTTCTTGGAATCGTCTGCATACACAGAACATACAAAACAGCAATAAGATGGAGAGGAAAAAAAAAGCGTGTGAGAATTTGTGTGTTTCCCACAGGTGCTGCTAGTAGATGTGCATGGAGCTGAAACATGAGGAGTGAGGATGAGATTAGTGATGAGAGCGTGGTGACTTACAGAGAGGATGGTGATTAGAATGCCTGCCGCGGTGAGCACACCGTCGCTAATGGTGTCTCCTTTTTTGGCCGGGTACCTGATGGATTCATCATCGCAGTAAAACCCTCTGCGGTAAGGCTGAACAGCGCAGGTCTCTATGACCAAGAAAGGCAGGCCGGCTAGTGTGTGGAGGTGAGCGGGTGGCACAGAGAGGAAGAAGAGCAGGTGGGGTGGGGGTGGGGGGATGGATGGGTGAAGGGGAGAGAGATGGAGGTGCTAGGTTAATAACAGGCAAATTACAGAGGCTGTGGTTACAAGCAGGAGGTGACATGAGAACATCTGGAACTGGCTCAGTTCGTTCTGTGGCTGCAGTCTGAGTCTCATCAAATAATCAGGGGGAATTGGTTTGTTTTTATTATTAGAGGGTCACTGTGGATAAGACGGGTGCTTCTTTCAGTCTGTCAATTAAGGATTGTGTATGCTTTATGTAACAGCTGGTTGTTTTTAACGAGGAATCATTCTGCTGATGTGCATCTTTCTAAGCAGCTCATAACTTTAACAATTTATATGGCAAATTTGAAATTAGAAACTGGGATTTGGCAGGAGGAGAATATAATCAGCAAATTTCACGACAGGCTCCAAACATTAAAGGGGAGTTAATCGACTTTGCAAACATGGCCCTGTTCTGCTTAAAACATGAACAAACGACCATCTGCATCTACAAAAAACTGCTTAATATAATAAAAAGTGCAGAACAATAAACTCTTATCACTGATGGTCTTTGTTTACAGATAGATGAGATTGTAACATAAAAATGTGTGTCAGAACGGAAAAATATATTTGCAAGTTTGTTATTTTGGGCTCAAAAATTGCCTGATAAAAGTAATAAAAATCCCTAATTTCCAAAGAAGTTGTCAGTTTAAACATTTAGAGAAAAGATTCAGTATATCACCTTAAGATGCTCATCACCTGTTTTACTTGTAGACAATTAAACTTTCTGCAAATATTTATTTTATTTAGGGCTGAAATGATTTCTTCGTGATTAATGCATTATTGAAATCAATAATCATCAGCGAATTTGGTAATCAAAATGACACTTAAAAGTAAAAATTCTACAATCATATAATAATGTTTCTATTTATATATAAATATATAAATTAAAAATTTATATATAAATTATAGAATAAAGGTTTCTCTTTCTATATTTTTTGTTTATTTAGAAATGTTAATTTGCTAAAATTATCTTTTTTAGATTGACCAATGATCAATAGATTCTTCAATTACCCAAATGATCAATAGATGGAGCCTTACTTTATAATTGATCGAAACAAAGCTGTGTCCTTTAATATTTTATAGTCTTTTGCTCTTTTTGTAGGACTGCAAGTGAAAAGTTTCAGATCCATAAAGTGTTTACTGGAAAATATGAGATGATTATTTTCATTCGTCTGATTCAAATGCATGCAAATTTAAGCCTGCCTGAAGGATTGGATTTTATCCTGGCAGCTTATGGTAGGACATGATGGAAAAAGGTGCAGCAGGGCTGCATGTGCTGCATAAATGATTTGAAGTCAATGGGATAAAACCACTGAGTGAGACTTAAGGCCTGTGGAAGCCATTAAAATCTGTATGCAATGATAAAACAGCCAGCCACTGGTGAACTGAGCGTGCTCCGTGTGTTCCCCTTGTTCTCCTGCTTTACCACACCAGGACTTACAGACACCACGGGCACAGTGACGCCCACAGCTGTGAGCACGGTGGTGGACACCGTGCTGTTCTTATAGGGAAGCCTGATGCTGTTGTCATTGCAGAAGAACCCCCTCTGGTAAGGTGGGAAGGGAGACTTGTGTAAAAACACGCCGACGAGAACCACTGCATGTTTGGACAGATACATGAATGCAGGTAAACAGGTTTTGTTAGGACATTTCGAACAACTGGGAAAAGGAGAGTAAATACAAACCACTTTTAAGACTTTCAAGAAGAGCATCGTCACAAAACGAGATGTAAAACTGTTGTTGAAATGAAAATGAAAAACACCCCAAAAAAGAAGAAAAGAACAATTTTTTCTAATTTCTCTCATTTCAATTACAGAACAGAGAAAGTGCAAAAATAATCTGTTTCCCATAAGCCTATGCTGTGTCGCCCCTCCCCTACTTGTTGTCACCTGGCTAAAATAAGGTTCCTGCTATTTGGAAATACTGACAATCAGAAAAAAAAGTAAAATTAATTAATTAAGTAAATTCATTCCCATGTTTTATATATACACACTTTATCATCTTCCACCTTTTTTGTTGTTTTCATTGTAGTTAAATATCACCAAAAAAAGCTAAAATCTCACATATATTGTTACCCAGTTGGGTATAATCTTAATCCTGTATCACACTATAGAATATGCCACATAATTACATAAAAAAAACTAATCTAAACCTATCTAAAATACATGGTCAGTAAAAAATGTCCAGAAAAAAGACATGATAAACATATTCGAAGAAGTCAGACATCTAAATAATCAAAAATACTGTGAGAAGGTGAAATGACAAGCAGCCTTTAAATACAAACTCAGCAGATAAGTCATGTTACGAACTCTTAATGATCTTATGATCATTTGTATGCAAATAAAGCAAATAATTTTCATTGATGTGATGATGTTCCCCAAAATTCTGTTTTGGTTTGATCTTATATGTTACTGTTACTGTAATAATCCATATGTATTCTTCTTGCAAAAAAACAATACATAACAACACGAAAAATTGGCCATCAAGCCAAGTCTTACAATCTTATAATTAGTCAAAACGTCTTTTTGATCTTGTTTTGAGGTTGATTCAATAAGCAAGAACAGAGTGTAAGATTATTTTAGTCTGAGAAGATTTTACTCAAAAATAAGTGGAATAATCTGCCAGTGCAGTGAAATAGTTCTTGAAATCATTATTTATATTCTGGGGATGCAACTAACGATTATTTTGCAAATCAATTAATCTGTCAATTACTTTTTCGATTAATAGCCTTAAAGAAGGCTTTTAAAGAAATTAAACCAGGTGAAACATCCCTATTATATTCCCAAAACATGAAGTATTACTTATTGCAATTGTCTTTCTGCACTGGCAGATTATTGCAGATTTTTTTAGTAGAATGTTCTCAATAATCTAAAGGAATCTGATCTTGCTTTGTTTATCAATTGCAAAACAAGATGAGAAATACTCCTTGGCTAGAATAATAATGTAAGATATGGTTAGATGACACTTATTGCATTGAAGAACCGTGTGTTTTTGTTTTAAAATTTAAAACCACAAACTCTTGAAGAAGGTGTATTCCATCCATCCATCCATCCATCCATCCATCCATCCATCCATCCATCCATCCATCCATCCATCCATCCATCCATCCATCCATCCATCCATGTGCTGGTGCCTACCTCCAGCTGTCAATGGGAGAGATGTGGGGTACACCCTGGACAGGTCGCCAGTTTTATATTCTAACCTTTCTAGCTTATTTTATTACAAGTGAAAAAGCCCCACACAATTCCAACAAGGCTATCTTTACGGCAAAGGCTTTGACAAAGACTTTAAAAGGCCCCTTTTCAGAATCCTCTGGGGAGTTTAATCGATTTCAAGTGTTTCACCACCTAAAGTGGCGAAGAGATCTTTTATTTTTATCTGCAGAAAACAAACGGGCTGGGTGTAGCTCAGCTAAGAGAAAATGGCAGCTTATTTTCTTCATTCCCAAGAGGTCATGATGGAGGACTTTGATTTCAAAGGGTGAACGAGGTACCCAGGAGAGGCCTTCCAATCTCACGACAGAATTTGGAAAATATGCTTTCATTGCACTTCAAAGTGACGTTTTGCTTTCAAGTCAAAGTCATCTGTGATCCACAGATATAAAGGAAAACAAGCAGACTAGTATTGGGGAGGGCAGGGGGTAGAATGGGCCAATTTCTCAGACCAAATGTCAAACACATGCTTGAGTTGCTAAGCCCCTGAACCCAGTACACCCACCCGTACTCACACACACATATACACAGAGCTAAGTTGTGGTTTTAACAGTCCAGCTGGGCCCGGTTCAGGTTACAGAGAGTTCTGGTGCTCTGGGAAATCCAGAATGTCGCTCGGCTCTCCACATTCAGCAGGTTTCACATTATTAACCTTCAGTCACTCTTCAAACAAATACCAAACCTGGGGCGACATTCCGCTCCGAAGCAGGACCGGAGGAAAAAGAAATAGGGCGGGACGTCTCAACGCTTCTGTGGCTGTGAAAACAAATCTCACTTTATAGCACGTTTGAACCTGAATGTCAAAGACCCCTAAGCTTTGGTTTATCTGTCTCTGAAGAGAACAACACAGGAGGCAGTACAGACTGCTGATGTCCTGGAGGGAAGGGGGGGCTGGAGGTACTGGACGTGAAATGCATTGCTTAAGAACCCTCACCTCTGCAATCTCTTTAAACACATTCACAGACTCAGACTAACCACAAGCCCAGAGGCTGGGGGTGGGGGGGTTCAAAGATCTGGCGAAATCCTTGATGAATTTAAGTCCATGCACAGACCGTGGCTTTTCAATGAGCCCTAAAGTGACCAAGCCGATGAAAAATCTTCTAGGGAAAGAGGGGAAAAAATGACAAGAAACAGAAGGACCCAGTCAGATCCTGTCTTCCAGGCATTCAGCTGTTTTTCTTCTCCCCTGTTCCGTGCCATGACCCCGGGCATCCGTGTAACAGTGCAGCATCAGCAGTGAGTGCAACATCTTGGGATTTTCCCCTCCCACCCACTTCAGCCTGCATGAAACATCAGAGGGTGGTGGTGAGTCCTTGTCGCGCCAACATCAACTCCAGTCAGCAGGTGTGAGGGTGTATACCTGCATTAGCTCAAAGTTAAAGACAACAGAGTCCTACGGAAAAGCTGAACGGCTGAAATAGAGATGAGATGTTTAGTCCTTCATATCAGCACTGTGTTTTTTATTTTCAAAATACCACTATAGTAATATACAGTAAAGGTCTAACAGGAAGATTTCATAAAGTCTTAGGTTTTAAACCTTTTAATAAGATATCAGAGTGGTATGTTATGGTTAGAGTTTCTGCAGCTTAAGGGAGCACAGAGAAAAACACTGCTGCTGCACACTGCTCATCAGCCAGCTGAAATACTCCCACACATTTTTATGACAAAAATAATGGTTAATTAAAATGTTTAGAA